AGTTATTGCGGCAGGCTGTGCCGTCAATTTGGCCCCTCGGTTCTCTTTCTCATGGAAACAAGGAAGGATGAATCGTTTATGGAAGCAAGGAGGAAAGTTATGAAGTTTGAGCACTCTGAGTATGTCAGTCCAGAGAGGGAAGGCAGTGGCCTCGCCCTATGGTGGAAAGAAGATGTTGCTGTTAGTGTTTTAGATTCTTGTAAGTCCTTCATGGACACCAATATTAGCAAGGATGGGGTTAGTTTTTTCTGCACTTTTGTTCACGCTCCTACCACGGTGGTAGAGAGAAGACTCCTATGGGATCGACTTACGACCCTAGGGGAGATCCAGGAAGATAGGTGGCTGATTGTAGGAGACCTCAACGTTGTTGTTTTCCCGTTTGAGAAGCAAGGGAGGTGCCCCCTAAGGATTGAGAATGTCTCTCCTTTTAAATACTTCATGACTCGGAATGCTTTGATTGACCTTGGTTTCTCTGGCCAAGTGTTTACTTGGAGCAACAAGCAACAAGGGGATGATCTGATTAGAGAAAGGCTTGATCGAGCTATCTGTTCGACCTCTTGGAGAATTATGTTTGAGACGGCCACGGTTTACCACGAAGACTTCGTGGAATCGGACCACTGCCCAATTCGGATTTACCTTCATCCAGCAAGTCAAACACATTGTACTCCGTTCAGATTCGATAAAAGATGGAGGGAGAGTGAAGAGTGCTGTCAAATTGTTACTGATCGATGGATGAGAGGCGAAAATATCGATACTATGCTGATGGATTGCCAGAATGAATTACAGAACTGGGCCATGACAGACAGACGAGCAAAATTGAAGCGAGAAAGAGAAATTCGGCAGAGACTACAAGTGTTACAAGGAGCAAGTGGATCCCCTGATAAGGCTGCTGAAGAAAGGAACCTCAATCAAGAACTCGAGTCCATCTGGATCTTGGAAGAAAGTTTCTGGTTACAGAGATCGAGAATCTCTTGGCTTCAGGAAGGGGATCAGAATTCAGGTTTTTTTCATGCCAGTACCATAAGAAGGAAGAACAGAAATCGGATTGTCAAGCTACAAGATGTAGAGGGAGTATGGATTGACAATGCTCAGGACTTGAAATATCATGCCACAAGGTACTATATCAACCTTTTCACCTCCAATAACAGAAGGTGTGACCCGAGTATCCTCGAGGGATTTCCCAAGTTGGTGACAGAGGAGTTCAATAACGTCTTATGTACCCCGGTGGAGAAGGATGAGATTCGTAAGGCATTGTTTCAGCTTGGAGCTAGCAAGGCTCCTGGGCCCGATGGCTTCCCGGGTTTGTTCTTCAGGAAGTACTGGAACACCATGGGGGACTCCTTTTGCCACGAAATCACCTTTTTTTTTACAGGAGTTATGCCTGAGAACTGGAACAAGACCTTTATCACCATTATTCCCAAAGTGGAAGCGCCTGAGTCGATCAGTCAGTTCAGACCGATTAGCTGCTGTAATTTTAGGTATAAGGTCATCACCAAAATTATGACAAACAGACTACAACCCTTGCTGCCTGAGCTGGTCAATGAACTACAATCTGCCTTCACAGGGGGAAGACAAATCCAAGATAACATCATCATTGTCCACGAGGTACTTAACCACTTCAAGAAACATAAATCAGGCAATAGAAGGGAGATGATGATGAAGCTTGATATGAAGAAAGCTTACGACATGGTGGAATGGGATCTCTTGATTTCTCTTCTGAGGGCATATGGCTTCAATGAGGTCTGGTGTGGTTGGGTTTACTCCTGTAAACGGTCACTTTCAATCTGCTGCTGAATGGTGAACCATCCAATGATTTCAAACCCTCCAGAGGCATTCGACAAGAGGACCCCCTCTCACCCCCTCCTTTTTATTCTCATGTCGAATGCACTTTCCTTCCTCATCGAAAAAGCTGTCCTGAACAATGGGATCAAGGGCATTAAACTTAACAGAAACTGCCCTACTCTGTCCCACTGCCTGTTTGCGGATGACACGGTCATCTTTGGGGATGCATCCTGCGAAGAGGCAGGAAAGATTCTGGATATCCTCTATGATTATGGAGCGGTCACTGGTCAAGAAGTGAACAGAAATAAGTCCTCCATTTTCTTCAGCTGCAACGTTCCAAGTGAAGAACAGGGAAGGATTGTTCTTGAAACTGGGTTTGCACCCACTACCTGCCATTCCAACTATCTGGGAGTGCCGACCGATTTGGACAGATCAAAGAGAGAAACCTTTCATTTCCTCCTCCAGCGCATGGAATCTAAAGGGGAAGCCTGGAAGAGCCTCCTCCTGTCCCCGGGAGGGAAAGAAGTTTTGCTCAAAGCGGTATTCCAAGCGGTTCCATCCTACATCATGAGCCTGTTCCTGCTGCCAAAGAGTACAACAAATAAAATGGACTCCATGCTCAAAAATTTCTTCTGGGGAGGGTCTATGACAAAGAGAACGATTCATTGGAGAGCAGGACATGTTTTATATGCACCAAAAGAGGAGGGGGGACTCGGGTTTCGGCCTTTCCATACCTTCAACCTGGCACTTTTGGCCAAACAAGCTTGGAGAATCCTCACCAACAAGGATGCCTTGTGGGTTAAGGTACTTAAAAGTATTTATTTTGCCAACTCGGATTTCCTAAATGCAAAAAAAAGGCAGCAGAGCCTCTTGGATCTGGTCTAGTCTATGTGAAGCGAAAGGGTGGATGCGACAAGGGCTGATCCGAGTGATTGGCAATGGCAAAACAACGAGGATCTTCCATGACCCCTGGAGATTTGACAGGGCAGGCCCCCTGCTCCAGTTTGACTGGAACGACAACTCTACAGCAGACAGTTGGATCGATGAGATTTTGAGGGAATGGAAGTTCGACGTGTTAGCAGATTTCCTTAGTCAACAAGATTTGAAGCAGGTGGCAGCCATCCCTATTGGGCCGGACTCACTGGAGGACTTTTGGGCATGGAGGTTCACTGATCAAGGAAATTCACGGTGAAGTCTGCTTTCACCCATTTTCATTTTCATACCAGACAAGGCAGAGTACGAGCCGAGGAGTTTTCGGAGGCGAGCAGGCAAAGATGGAAGTGGCTATGGAGTCTCTCTATCCCTCCGAAACTTAAATTCTTCGTTTGGAAGGTTACCAGAGGTGCTATGGCTTCAAAAGAAAACCTATTTGCCAGGAAATGCGCCACCTCAAAGGCCTGCCCGATATGTGACTTCACAACGGAATCGATCCACCACTGCTTATTTGCCTGCCCCCACGCGGTGGAAGGATGGAACCAAGAGTGGCCCTCTCTGTCTTGGCCTGCACCGCTCTCTTCTTTCCTGGAATGGCTTGACTCCCTTCGACAAAGCTATCCAATCATAGCGATTCAGAAGATCATTTTCCTTGGTTGGCAGACCTGGAAAACGAGGAATGAGAAGATCTTCAGAGATACAAAGCCATGGCCCCCATCAACGATCACGAGGGCGGCGTCAGCCCATCTACAATGGATCACATGCCCAAGGAAAGTTTCCGAAGGTCACCCACCTTCTCAACTCATTTCACCCCAACAGCACTCTTCACCACCGCCAGGTACTCATCAATTTGAAGTACACTGCGATGGCTCGTTCTTTGACGAGCCCCAGAAGGCGGCATATGGCGTCGTTGTCTCGAATAGCCATGGTCAAGTGTGTGATGGTAGAGCCGAGTCCATGCATTGTTTTTCCCCACTTGAAGCAGAAGCTTTGGCCCTGTTGGAGGGTTCCAGGCTTGCAGTCTCCCTCAGAGCTCCCTGCCTGCTGAAATCTGATTGCTTGCAGCTAGTGAATGCAGTCCATAGCGACCCCAAATCGTAGCCATGGCGAGCGGCAGCAAGGCTGGGCCTCATTAAGCGTATTTTGGAGGAGAACCCGCTGGTCAAGTTGCAGCACTTCAATCGAAGGAACAACTACAAGGCTAATTGGGTTGCTAGATCATGTGCTAGAAATCAGTTACCATCTCAATGGTTACAAATTGTTGATGTGGTTGCTCCCCTACTGTAATGACTGGCTTGTGCTACAAGTAATGGAAATTCAGTGTCCTTTGTCAAAAAAAAAAAAACCTGTAGAGTGGAGATTCCTTATTCCCAACTAGCATTCCATTGATACTGAGGATAATCTGTTGGGGACAAGTTCATCTGCCAGGTTGAGAATGTAGAAATTTTTTGCATAGGTTTCTTCGATGATAAAGTAAAACATATGTCAGATGGCTTGGACTAGTGCAATGGGTAGATGGTGGAAAAATTAACTCAGTTTTAGTGTTGTCGGTGGTTCTCATTCACATTATGGTATCCGACTTGGTACTAGAAAAGGGAGCGTATGTGGTTGATGAACTACGTAGAAGTAAGAAGCTAGGTTTCTGAGTTGTTCTGAAAGCATTTGCAGCTGAATAATGGAGTTTAAATTTGCTGCTTAGTTCCAAAGGTACCTGCTTCTGCTGCAAAAATTTGAATGCTTTTGAATGAATGGAGTTTAAACCTCGAATCACTCTCAAACTTGTTGTTGTGTTTAGTATGTGAATTTACGCCAGGAAAGATGAATCTGTCCAATGTTCTTGTACGTCCACATCTCATCTTAGGCCATAAGGGGATGTTATATGCTAGAGAACCTTGTCCGTAAACCTGAATCATCGGTCGAAGTCCTTTACTTGCACACGTTAGTTCAAATAACACAGTTTTGTTGTCTATCAGGTTGTGGTGGAAGAGGGAACATCATGTGCTCGGAGTGTGGTGGGCGTGGTCACCTTGGATGCAAATGATCTTCGGTAGTTTTGTCGTGCTTGCTTTTGGTGTTAGTAAAAACAGAATTTGATTGCATTCTAACTCCCACGGTATCATATAGTTTTCAGTTTCTTCCACCAACAAAAAACATAAAGTATAGTATTTTGAGTTTCATTTCGATTCATAGTTCTGGGTTCTGGCCATTGGAAAAAATCTCAAATTGTTAATGAGAAGGTAAAGTTGCGAGAAATGAGTTTCAGTCGATCTTCAGTTTCGAGTTGTCGATTAGCTTTCATCAGAGCAGCAGATAAAGTCTGGAAGTTATACCTTGACGAGTTAGGTTTGTTTTTAAACGCTACCAATGGTTGTAGGGGATGCAGTGATGCACAATGGAAGGAGAATCAAAAGACATATCTGGTCCCAGCAACTAACACGCTTCAGTTTGATCCAACACAAGTGCATAAACTTTCACCACTAAAATTCCAAACTAGGTTCCAATCTCGACAGTTTGAAATCCTTTCTCGATCGACACCTTAACCGCATCCAGAATCTGCTGCGTCTTCCTGCTGCGAGAGGCCCAAGTGAGATCAGGCTGCCCACCATTAACCTTAACCTCCCACACCAAATGAGACAGCTCTTGAATCAAGCAAACTTCCTGCGGCAAATCCGTAGAGACAACGTGCTGGCTCGGCGCCGGAACCCAACTCGTCATAAGATCATCGACCCTGGTATTCGAAGACAAGACGAAAGAAGCCTCTTTCTCCACAACCGGAATCACAAGATCATTGACCTGCAACGTCCCCTTTGTCCCGAGTGCAGTGATGGTTGACGTCATATTAGTCAAGAAAGAGCAGTGGAAAGTCGCTGACTTTCCATCTTCCCAATGCAGAGAAGCTCCACAAGCTAAGATCACTCCAGCCTCGCTGATCACAGCTCCCGGTGTCGCGATTACGGACTTTGGCATCTCGTAGTCCGCCGCCCAGAGTATGGAATATGTGCAGTACCAACCCACATCGCCGAGTGCGCCCAGAGAATCGAGATCGGGCTTCACGCGTATGTTCTCCTTGTGGAAACTCTCGTCGGCCGCGAAAGTAAGGCAGCTATGTACCTGGACAAAAAGAAAACATAGGGAAGCAACTAATCTCTCTCAGGGGAATTTCATCGAACAGTTTGTAGTCTAGAAAAATCTCCCACTCACTGTTTTGAGTTCCCCAAACCCGTCTTTGGAATGGAGGAATTCCTTCATCTTGGCGGTCCGGGGATGGTGGAGCCACATGGTTCCATCCATGAACTGAACGCCGTTGGCCTCGCAGGCGGCGAGAATCTGGTCCAATTCGGTTGCACAGACGGCGACAGGCTTCTCGAGGAGGATGTGCTTCTTCTTCTGGGCAGCCAAGGATGCCCATTTCAGGTGGAGGGTTGTGGGTAAGGGGATATAGACGACGTCGATTTCTGGGTCGTCGAGGAGAGCTTCGTAGGAGCCGTAAATCTTGGCGTCAGGAGGGAAATTGTTGGCTTTGGCGAAGGCGGTGGCTTTTTCCAGAGTACGGCTGGCGACGGCGGAGAGCTCGGCGTTCGGTGCCAGAGTGATCGCGCGGGAAACTTTCCGGGATATGTCGGCGCAGCCGATAATCCCGAAACGGATTTTGGGTTCGGACGACATGATCGTGTAGCTAAAGTTGTGATTGCTGCTGGGGGTGAATGATTGATGGAGCTGTGGAGGTCGGATTATGAAGGAGACAGGGAGGGAGAGAAAGCTAACTTGGCGGATTCTGCAATTGTTGGGAGAGTGCAAAGATTTCTAGCAGCTCGGCAAAAGTCCAAATTCGACTTCGCTTCTTGTACAGGATGAAGCTACACCATAGAAAGGAGATGACTATTGAATATGGGTTTCGTTATTGGCAATGATGAAATATTAATATATTACTAGTTTTTTTATCCGCGCTTCGCGGCGGTAAACTAAGAATACTGATATACACTTGTTTGATTGACATATACAAATAACTATTTGATAATGCAAGAAGAGAGACGGAATTAAAACAGGCGGCATAATAGGCAAACGCTCAAGAAAATTTAAAAGTCATTATTGATAAGGAAAAAAGAGTTTGAGGTTGCACAACATATTTTTAATCTAATAATAACATCAAGTTAAGAAAAAGAATCACATTTGATAAAACTATTATGTAAAATTTAACTTTCCTTATGGAACATTTGCGGCAAATTGGTGAATGGTGAATATTATAGATGATAATAAAGTATATTTAATTACTAACAAAACAATTAAGTTACGAAAAGTATCAGATTTGATCAAACTGTTATGCAAACCATATAGAATATTTTTGTGATGCAAATTGATGAGACGGTCAACCGTTTAGTTAATAATAAGAAAATTTTCTTTAAACCTACGACATTGTTTCGTGCTTATTAGCCGATAATGACCTACGGCATTGTGTTCTGCCGGTGATGGCCCTCTCCGTTGTGGAGCATATCAATATGGTGGAGTTTGATATGATTCTCATCCATTCACCCTACAAGTTGGAATTGATTGTTCAAGAAGCTACTTCGATCACGTACAAGAAGTTGGAGATTCGGCTAAGTGTTTTGGCAGTTTCAGGTAACCCACTTTGGGAGCTCGGTTTGCTCAATTGGTTAAATGGAAATGGTGTTTTAGGTGCTCGTTTTGAAGCTGGGATGTTTGTCTACACAACGGGAGGCTTGAGAGCTCGAAGGGAAGTCAGGAAATACATTGCTCGAGCTGTTCAAAAGTGTATGCACAAACTGGCAAACTACCAGAATTTGGCTAAGTCTGGGAGTGTGATCAGGAAGCTCACTTTGGAGCTCTATTCCAGGAAGAAGAGTGATGATCGAGGCATTAGCTCCTTACCCCATGAAAGTATGCATGTCAATATACAACGGAAGGGCATTGGCTGATGGATCACTTACCAGAAGGTATTCGATCGAGAGGCTCAAAGATGGTATCAAAGACTGTTCTTTTACTGGAAGCTGATGGCAGGAGTTGTTTCCTTGTTTGCTATGGATTGTTTTCCTTTTCTGTTTGTAATTAGTTTTCGTGTCCTACCGTAATTGGGAAGGCTTGTAGTTTTAGTTTCCCTAGTTTTTTATTTAAACACTCGTCGATTGCGTTGTAATTCGTTAGAGTTTAATCAAAGAACCCGTTTGTTCATAGAGCTTTTGTCTCGTGAATTGTCCTTGTTTGAGGGGATTCCGTCAATCAAGCGAGCTCAGTATCAATTGAGTATCCACCTCAATTGTGGACGAGTTGCGACTACTAATTCGATCGAGCCTCTTCCCTTCATTGGTGCGAAGTTGCACGTTCGAACACCATCCCTTTTCTTCCCCTGTTTTGCGCCGAAAAGCTCCTACCCACAGGTTTCATTGGAGTTGGACGAGTTACAGCACCCTAGCTGGGAATTAGGGCGCCATCAGAGTTTATGGTGAGGATGATCAAACGGCAGCCCCAAGATCCTTTTAGATTGCCTATTAGTTTTCTTGTTTTGCAGGTCACTTCTGGCTGTTGATGGTGCTTTATGGAAGGAAAGGTTGCGGTTTCGGTAGCTTCTCATAGGGCTGCATATCTTGTGGCAAACCAGACCCTTTCATCGGCAGACTCCTTGGTCATAATCAATGTATGGTTTGATGGTGCGGTCAAGCGTGGTCAAGGAGGTAGTATCGACTTTGTAGGCTCTCTTGAGATAGGTAATGTTCTATTTTCCTTTGGAAAATATTATGATGGGATCCAGGATCCATTTATAATGGAATGTTTAGCTTTATGTGATGCCTTACAGTGGTGTCTAACTCACTCCTTTCTTGTGTTAATTTTCATGGTGACTCTCAACTCTTGATTCGGCGGATGGTTGGAGGTGATTTGCATCATGATCGGGATGGAGCAATTTTGGAGGATGCTAGGAGTTTAGCTTCAAGTTTCTTAGTGTTTTGTTTCTCGCCAACTCATTAGGGCTGCCCATCATGTGGCATAAAAAGCCCTCTCATCGAGAGTTCGACTATTCGTCGACTCTCGCGCTTTTCTTTCTTCCTCACTGTGACTTTCATTTCAACTACTGAATTTGCAAAAAACAAAACTAAATAATATCTTTGTGTAACAAAAATTGATGAGATGGTCAATCATTTAGTTAATAATGAATAATTTTTCATTAAAAATCATATTAATCATTACGAAAGGCTTGCTGTATCATGTTTAGTTTAACTGATACATAAGAAATAACTATCCTTCCATAAATTTGAGATAATGTATTTTTAATTTACGTAAATTTTATAAAATGGTGTTTACATAAATATTTCGTAATTTATGGTATAATAAAAATCAAGTTACAAAAATTATCACATTTAATTAAACTATTACGTAGATGAATCATGATTAATTATGAATCTTATGGTAATATTGTAGTTAATAATTGTTACATAAGAAACAACTATCATTCTATAAGTTTGACGTAATGTATTTGTAATTTCGTAACTTTTACATATCGATGTTAGATAAAATTATATGTAATGTATGGTCTAATAAAAAGATCAAGTTACAAAAATTAAGTTAATAATAAAGAAATTGATGATGCAATAATTCAATGTGATATATATTGTAGTTACATCATGGAATAGAGTTTAGGAAGATAGTACACAATTTCTCATTTGCTTGGGCATACAGCAAGCCATAAGCTATAACTCAGCCGAAGTTTTCATCAAGACATGTAATCTAAACATGAGCTTGTACTAATTTCGCCTCTAAGTTATTTAAGAAGGAGAAACAAACTTTCATTAAATTTTATGTCTAAGAAGTTGCAGAAATTTGTCAAATAATGTGCTTAAATCATACATCATCACTACAATATAAAGTTCCAGTTGTTTCAATTGAAAAACTTCATACACATTTAATTGACAATGAACAAATGAGAGAGAGGGGAGGAGAGTAGGGATGGCAATGGGTCGGGTTGGGGCGGGTTTTGTCAAACCCAAACCCATGGGTTTATCCGCTAAAAAAATCCGGGGTAAAACTCGTTGGATTTGAAAAACTCAAACCCAACCCAGCCCGCTGGGTATCCGCGGGTTCATGGGTACCCGTGGGTTTTTGTGGTAAAAAATTTACAATAACTAATTTCTTTCAAAATAAAAGTTTAACATTAATTTTCTCATACAAATTATTCATAAAAAAAAACACCAATCTAGAACATACAAACAAACCGCAAATGATCAATATAAATTGTTCAAAATTAAAGATAAACATCTATAAACAACAAGATTAATTGAAATCTTCTTTCGCGTCAAATAAGTTTCTTCACTCTCCACTCCATAATATCAACTTCATTCTAAACAATCAGAAAGAACAAATTATACATGTCTCCACAAACATAAATAATATTAGTTGTTTAAAGAAGATATATTATTTAGAATATTAAATCTACCGGGAAAGTAATTATATGTGTGAGCGGGTACCCATGTGGCGGGTTTACCTAAACCCAAACCCAACCCAATCCGGTGAATAGTGTAGCGGGTTTAAACCCGAACCCGGCCCAAAACCCGTCAACACGGGTTTTATCCGCGTTGACCGGGTTGGGTAGGGTGGGTACCCGTGGGTTTGGGTTTTGTTGCCATCCCTAGAGGAGAGGAGGAGGCTTGATAGAGTGGGAATGATGATGGAGTTCGGTTGTGGGCATGGTTGTCACGCCGGCCGGCGTGCCACCGGTTGTACCGGGTTCAACCGATATCGGTCATAAAACCGGCGTGACACCACCGGTATGACCGGCATGATCGATATACGAATCTCTAAGTAAAATGACTTTAGTTTAGAAAATTTAATTGATTAAAATTATTTTATTATTTATTTTATGAGTATAAAAGTTAAATATTGATGTTATTTGTTGGATTCAAGTATAAATGTTTAGGTATTGACGTTAAATGTCATGTTTAAATATGAGTATTTATAATTTTATTTGTAATATTGACCGACATGAACCGACACAAACCGGTATGTGCCACCGGTTGAACCATTCTACTTGCTAAACCGACACACTGGCATAAACCGGTTTGACAACCTTGGTTGTTTGCTCAATATAGGGATGGGAGAGGGCCGTTTGATTGATTGATGGGTCTATACTGTAGATAGGAAAGGAAGGAAGTGAATGGCAAAGGGCAAAAAGTAACGCAGAAAAGAGGAAGGGATGCCCGCAAAAGAAGGGTGGCAGGCATGAGCTGTCGCGGTTTCTTTATGAGGCCATGTATGTGAATATATTCTAAAATAATAAACCGCCAAACTTACTTTGCCTAATACGGTGAACTCGGGCTTATATAAAAACGCCCACATCTGATTATAAAATCCTTTAGTGAACAGTAGATTCCGATTTTTTCTTAAGGAACAGTAACCTCGTTTTATCGTAATTTTTAAGGACTTGTGTTTTAAAAATTGGAATGGTAATTGTTAAGGACTTGTGTTTTAATAATTCTAATAATATTATCCATTAAGGCATTATCCCTCGTTTTTTTCTTTCAAAGATATTCTCATAAGAGAACAGCTAGATACGAATTAGAAGCCTTTTTAGCCAACCATATTACCATAATAATACATATAAGAGAAAGGGACGACGGTCGACAAATAACCGAACCATCGATAAGAGAGCCTTTTTCGCGCAATGGGCATCTCTTAATACCTATACGGCATGGGCAATATCCATGACTTCTACCCTATAAAGGTGAAAATCATGGAACTAACCATGCTGAAAGTGCAGCAGAGAAGCAAATCTTTGCAATTTTGACAGGAAGAATCATTTGCAAAATTAATAAACAAATGGTCTCCAATCGAACCAAGGGCTTAGCACATGCAAAATTAAAAAAAAAATCATTGAAG